TATTCTGCGGACTTCATGTCCTTTAATTGAATTTATTTCCGGCACCTTTGGCTAGCCGGCATTCATCCAACTAAATGGCCAGTCGTACCGATGCTTTTCGATAATGCATTATCTTAACATCATTCTACTATAATAAAGTGCAGATTTTTGATAATGCCTTATTTTCATCTCAACTCTAATTCCCTTCTCATAATAACCATATCATGAGAAATTCACGATATTTCCCAGATTTCCAAGTTTTCAAGACCCGCTCTAATCAGAAAGTTTGATTTCTACTAATCTAATTTCCAAATTTTTCGATTTCCACATAGGTATATGGAAATCGTTGTTCACACATTTTTGAAAACGGCTGTAAATATTCCATTACATCCTTATGTCTACATATTTTGAGTATTAAAAGAATGCTTAAGTTAACCCTTTGATTTTAAAGTACAGTATGTGCCACATGCTCATCCTTTCCAACTCCAATTTTATCTTGATAACAAAACCCAGTATTATATGTTTTTCATTAATTCCAATTTAGCTGATTTTTGAAAACAAATAAAAGCTTTATCTTATAAACATTAATTACATTAAGATGACTGACATTTTACGAAGATGCCCAAAAAGTAATAATAAAACAAAATCCATGGATAAAATTTATTAACGTTATATTTGCGCTCATAATTTTTATACTTTTTACTGCCTATGGTACAGTATTAACGCATATTATTATATATTTAAGTAAATTAATTTGAAAATAATTATAGTCATGTATGTGTAGATTTTAAAGCAATTGGAGTATTGAATAAGGAAAGTGACAAACTATTTAACTCAAGCCAACGTCTAAAATACAATGATAATCAGTTAGTTTTATTTTCTTTATCTTATTTATTGGTAATTTACATAAAAATAATATTGGATACTAATAAATACGTACGACTCTTTTTTTCTACAGTGGATTAGAAATTATTGGATGGTGTTGTTGGAGTATATATTTACATGTTTTATGTTTTTATATTATACGGTTTTTTATTAGCCCACCTTGGAAAAATACCGAAAATTTTTATTATGTCAAACCTGGAAGATGGCGAACTTTGATAAAATTTCTATTAATTGACATGTAATTATAATCAATATTTATATGGGTTTTTTTTTATCATAAATGATACTATATCGAGTGATAAATAACATGTGCTTTTTTTTTATTATAGAATACTGTCTTGTTTGAATATTCCACTTTCATTTCCTTATTTAAAAGAACCGATAACCTCATGTAATATCGAATCTTTAGACTCATCAGAATATGAATGGTGTAATATCCGTACAAAACTTGTTATATTAGCATGGTTATCGATATTTATTTGGTTTATGGTGTATCTAATTTATCTCTCTCTTATATTAGTAATTTTATGTGAAAAAGTTTATGTGATTTTAAAGTCTTGGGTTATTTATCAGTATCAATATATAAAAGGATTATACTTAATATGGATACGCAAAGAAAAGTTGAAAAGGCAAAGTGAAACAGAAATCGAAGAGTCTAAAGATTTAATTAGTAAGAATGTTGAAGATAGTGACGGTAATGAGAATGCTAAATTCGATATTAATGAGACTAATGGATTTGAAATAGTTACAACTAAATAATCTATTTATGTGTTAAACTTTAGGAAATATATATTGAATATTATATTAGAGTTCATTTTATTTCTCAATTAATTATATTGTATTTTGTAAAAAAAAAAACATCAGTTTATCAAACAATATAAATAAACAGAATTAGACTTATTATCATGTTTATACATTGAAGTATCATGTGGTCGTAAAACTTCATTTATTCGGTGCAAATACAGTAGCGATATAATTATTTCCGAACAGAGCCTATTAAAATTTTTTTTTCAATATGGGATCAGTGTATAGATGGCGGTGAAATTACCCTTCTTAATAAAAAATTTTTGTCGAAATTGTTGAAATTATTTAATGTTGAAATTGGTGAAATAAGTTTTTTAATATTATAATTTAATTTTATTATATCAAAAATTAATTAAATCAAATACAATAATTGCTTTATATTTAATTTATAAATATATTAAAAATGTTGAAATTATTGTTGAATTAAAAAATTAAAAATGAATTTTACCATCACCTATAACTCCGAGCGAGTTCTAGAAAGGTGTAAATAAAGATCTTTAGTGTTAAAAATCAGAATCGCATCAATTATTTAGTGGTATACGACACGTTTTAAATTTAACTTTTAACCACCGCCATTGATTTCAAGGTATTAAAGTTTTGGTTGCAAACTACAAAGTGGCATCTGGAACCAAACGGATCACGTTTTCCTAGTAACTACAACAAGAGCATTGCTGCTTTATTACCACAAGAAAATACGTAGTGTTCACCATTAGAACTGTTTAATTGCACCAATTAAACTAGATTAAGCCAAATGTTCAGAACTGAATAAGTAGAGTAGGGCGATAAAACAAGTAATAATGATGCAAAGCAATGGGATACCTTTCTATCATATTTGACGATTTTATCGTGTAATGAACTTTTCAAGTCCTATTAAGCTAATATCTGTTCCCACATGATTGCTATGATTGTTTTAGTACACCCGCATGATCGTTTTTTGAGGTTAAACCTACAATTATGTGTAAAGTAACACATTCTATTGAAGCTTCATGTGATGAGTCCGATAATTAATTACAGGGTATTCCTAACCTTTTAAAACACAAAGTCCAAATGATACAGAATATAAGTAGGTGGACAAAACTTAAAAAAAGTAATTATATATCTCTTTCAAAGAAATTCAGAAATAAAGAAGGATGAAACTTCTCTTACCTTTTATTTTAATTTTGATTGATTCGGACATTCCTTTTGACATTGATATTATTTTATTCGCTCAAGTGATATATATATTGTTGATAAATCATTACTATTGCTGATTTATAAATCTCTTTCGAACACGCAAAGTTGATTTTTCATTTGCATTATCCGACCGACTCATTTTTTTTTTTAAAGTTCCAATTGTGCCATTCTACATTCATTCTATATTCTTGTTATCAATTTTATCCGGTGTCGCCGATGATACCTTAATTATCCGATAGAAAAATTGAAAATTTTAGATTCCATGTTATACAAACCGAATATTGTGAATGAGTCTATTAATACACAATAGATTTGGAAAAAAAAAATCCGGTCGATCGATCCAATTTTCAAATTTCATGTAATGTAAAACAAAAAATTAACTTCTTTGCCTAAATTATACGATAATTGGGATGATTGAAGAAGAGTTTTTGTATTTTACGATCTATAGTACAAGCCAATTTATTTATAAATGGAAAAACTTTCCTATTGTCATGTTCTTTATTATGAAAAAAAAATCTATTTATAGCTTTTTACACGCTCAGCTTTTCTATAACTTCTTATCCTATTCTTAATACCTTCAGATGTTACCCATTGCAAATATTCATTTATCAACTGTGCTGACACCTCATGAGGTTTTACATGCGTGTGTAGGAATGTACTATACCTATACACTGGTCACTATATCAAGATCGCAGGGTATACCCTGGGCACTATGTGTATAAGCGGGGCTTTCAGCCCCCCTTATGCCCAACTTGCCAGGATATAACTACTACTTACATAACTATTCCTCATGTCATAATCTACCACCCAAGTAATTATCCACGTACGTACTACGTTTACTCTCGGTTTAATAATTCAACTTGATTTTTCATACATCCTTCTACACTCCAGTAATAGTTGCTTATTTTCTTTGATCAATCAATTCGATCTATCTTTACTAAACTCAAACCACTGTCAACATACGTTTTAATACATAAATTCCGAATTGTGCTGTTTGCTAATTTTCAATGATAACTGATGTTTACTCTTAACCTTATTGGTCATTTCATTAAAAATGTCCCACATTACAGTATTTATCAAATATTTTGTACACAAGAGATGCAAACGCCAAAAGTCACATGCACCATCCAAATATGTAACCGGTTTCTAATCAAGATTCTTCTTGCATTACAACATTCTATGCAAAATTAGTTTATCCTTTTTTAGTTATTCTTTACGTTTAAATAATTTGCTAACTCTGGATAAAGTACAATCTTATCCACCATTTAATTATATTAACATAATAT